ATGAATGTACATGGATGCTGTAGGACAATAGACAGACCTGAATAATTGTGGGTAAAAATCTGTTCATATTAATTCCCTAATAAGCATAATAATTCATAATTTTTTTGGTTCTAATCACATTTCAATTAAACTTGGAGACATAGATTTTCTGTTACATTGCACAGACCTCATTAGTTTTACACTCAAATCTGGTCATATTAATTTTCTGATTTGCATAATTAGTTTTCAGCTAAGTAATTTCGAAGTATATTTAATGTGTCTCCAATACTCTCAGCACATGGGAGTTCTTTCTAAGTTTTCTTTGATTTTCTTTGCTATGTCTTAAACCAGAGGGGTCGTCGCGCAACACGTGTTCGAATTTGATATAAATAAACAATCTGTTGTATTTGGGACTCGAGGACACGCTTGCGTCAACCCCCCCGCTTTAATATAATAAGCACTAAGAGAACTTTCAAAAATTTAATGGGGACTGTCATTTTTAATGACTGGTCAATTTTGTTTTGGGGAAGATTCTTCATAAAAACAGCAAAACATTTTCATCTGGTTGCCATTTGCAAAATAATGCTTGTTAATTCAACAGGATCCCAGACAGCATTGGTAAAGACATTGAGAAGGCATGTCAGGGAATCTTTCCTCTACATGATGTACATATCCGTAAAGTTAAAGTCCTTAAGAAACCTAAGCTTGATGGTAAGTATTGAACACTTAAGTGAATACTCCTATTAGTGACAATATCAAATAATGAATGTCTAATAAAATACTTAATCCTTGCCATGAAGAGTTTTAATAAGTCTTTGTTAATAATTTTTTCACTGAGCTTCAAAGTTAAAAAAATATTCTAAAAACATTGTTTTGTTTGATATGTGCACACTAATTAAACCCATACCAATCATGGAATCTGTTTGAATTGAATTGTTTGAAAAATGGGAGGCAAGTAAATTGATTTTCTCTTGCTTATTTTACAGTTGGTAAGTTGTTAGAACTGCATGGTGAAGGTAGTGCTAGCAAAGGAGGCGGTGGAGAAACCACAGATGAATCTGGTGAGAAGGTATCCAGACCAGACAACTATGAACCACCGGTTCTCGACGCTGTTTAATAAACTGATAAACATTTGATGCAGTCTGGTTAAAATAAAGATTTGCATTCAAGTTTACCAACATATTGTCTTAATTTGTGCAGCCATCATTAGCCAGATTAGACTGATAAACATCTCACTTTTATGAATGGTCAGCTCAATCCCAGGGATTGCTCCAAGTGTTCATGGGTAATTAACTCTGCCTCTGTCCACTAAGTAAATGAATGCTTTTCCTTCCCATGCATATTACTTGGACATACTAATCCTCCAGACTGCTAATAAGAAAATGCCTCCTCTCAAAGACTTTGGTTATATTTTGTTGCAAATCTGTAAACAAAACATTAATTTACTTTTGCCTTCAAATTTCCATATAATATCCACAAATTGGTAGCGGTGAAAAAGTTTACTGTATATTATAAGTATAGAGGTTATTACACACAAATTCTCCGTGATAAAATAACAAAATCATTAGTAATAAAAAGGTGCTGCGACATCACATGCTCATCTTGTTTCTTGCTGATGACACTCGTCTGGAAAATCAAAATGTACAGCCTTGTGTTCTGTAAAACCTAGCCTGTATGTGTAAGGGTTGTACCGGGTTGTATCTCGTGTGAGATTTGAGTTCTTTTCTGGCCAGTGAATGTACTGTTGACTTTACAGTCAAAATCAATTGAACGGCAAGAAAGAGGAGAGCATTCTGTCAAAACAATTTTACCATAGACTCAATTTTAACGTCAAATCTACAGCGCTGTAATTGTTACAAAATCAACGTTGTTTCAATATATGGTGCGACTAAGACTACTGGTTATGCTAGTCAAAACAAATACACTTGTTGAGTTTGCAAACTTGTTTTGATAGAACACTTTTATCGGTTGTGCACATAAGTTGAAAAACCGTCGCTAATTTTCTTCACAGGCAACAAACTGCCCTTTTCAAGGCCAAAATAAGAATCGAAAAATAGAATATAAATACACGCAATTTTCTTGACATGTATGAACGAAAACTATCTATTGTAAAAGATATAAATTGAAACTGCCTGTTACTTGTCTGGGCTCTGATGCGTCTTAGTCAAATATAGAAACGAAAAATGGTTTATTTTCTTGTGCCAAGACCTGGTTGTTCATGCATTTAAAGCATTTACTTCTTGTACTCGGACACTGGTGTGTGCTATGGAAACATTTAATTTCGCTGTTTTGAGTGGTCAAAGTATTCGCGTCTGCCTATGTCTTGTTGATATCTGAAACTTGCAACCTCCAACGGTTATTTCCTGCATGCCTTCCAGTATTACAGAACTATTTGCAGCTCATTGCAGTCTGTTCACTGTACCCCTTATTTTTTCCCCAGACGGTCTAGAAAGTTGTACAAAAAGAATGTGCATCATCCCTTAGAAAACACAAGTGTTTGCCGTAAGATCAAAGGAAAAATGTCCATATACTAGTAACCAACATCGTTTTGGCCATAAGAGTCGATCAGTGGTTCATCAAAAAATCATGTCCACTGGTGACAAAAAATACTCAACATAATTAATGTAATATAAATATGCATTTGTTTATTTTTTTTGGGGTTAGGAAAGTATATTGTAAAAGAAGTTTCAAATAAAAACGAACACAACAGCATTGCTTAGTAGCAAATGACGGTAGCGCAATCCGATCATGCTGCGTTTCACAATAGTTGATTTATTGACAAGGTACAAAAAGTAAATTCATTGAATTGTTGTGAAATGCAAGTAAAATTCAATTCAGTTTCACTGTAAGCAAAGGATTCCGGTTGCATGTAAATGCTCGATGCTATACCTGACAGGTCAAATCCCTAATCAACCAATCAAAATACTGGATGATGCAACATTTTCAGATTATCATAGCTTAATGTGTCGATGTTAATGAACGCAAAACTGAAGAGATTTGCCGATGTTCTAATACGACCTTTGATTTTGGTGGAAACAGCAAGACTTTTTTTTTTTAAATAAAAAAAAATTAGTTTTCAAAGATAAACTGACAATTTGAAGACTAATTTAACATTTTTACGGTGATGCAGCTCATTGTCGAAACTAAGCTTTACCCATTCAGGCTAACCGCAATAAACGTTGTACTGCTGAATAGGCATCAATGACTACGGTAAAACTAAAACGTGGGTCAGTGGTGAGTGTTTTGACTTGGATATTGTGTTTTACATTTCAACGAGACATTTTTGTGTTTTAATTTCACGCTTTTGGACTCGCTGCAAAATTAAAACCACACGATTTATTTCTGCTTCTACAGTTATTGCAATGGATATCTGAGAGACCATCACCTAATGCTATTGATATTGTTTACTATCTTGCATCGTCATGTCTCAGTGTTATGATGCTTAGACCATAGGCAAACTGCGTAACAATAATGCTGTTTGTAAACCAACAAGCTTTGTAGATGGAATAAACATTTACATTTTTGTTTACTCAAACTGATTGACGGGCGTTTTGCATACATTAGCCGCCATTTTAAACTCGTGATTTTTACTTGTCGCGAGACTGTTCGACCAAAATAAAAGAATAATATAATGCAAATAAAAACAGACAAGACACTTCCAGCATGCAAGCAGGATAAGGAAAAACAAAGTTGTAAACTTTTCACCCTTATCTCGCAACATGTTGACAACTTCTAGCCTGGTGGCGTCAGTGGTATACTGTTTAATAATCTAATTTTTTGTGTAGGAGGAAGGCCCGATAGCATGATTTAATTTTCGCACAACACAAGGAAACTATTTCTTTTGTTCTCTTGGTGCATAGATTTCAAGTTTTTTCGCATAGTGGGAGAGACTAAAATAATTTTCAAGCATTTTTTCTCAAGACATTTTTACACTGAAGTTAAAAAAAAAATTCATTTCATCCTGCTGATAAGATTGTGATTTAATGGATTAACACCAGTTGTTGCTGTCGTGGATAACTAACTTTTCAGTGACAAAATACACAAACTTAAAATGCTCGGTTTATTAAAAATAAAAATAAAATGCCCTGAAAATTACAGAAAAATTGGCAATGAGATGCTGTTTTTGGCTCATCCGGCCTGATGAGCCTATGCCTATGCGTCTGTCGTCCAAAAATTACAAAATCCATGAATAAGGATGCCATTCACTGATTCTAGGTTAGCTATTTGTGATATATCTGTATGTTTTTAAGAGAATAAAGTTCATTTAGGCAGTAAATGGGTGCATTCTTTCTTGATACATTGATTTAAAACCTTCCCCTCACGTTTTCTAATGGAATTACCCAGAATGCTTAGCGCAATCAGCAGCACACTACTTGTGCACATGCGCAGTTAATATTTCTCCCACAATGCACTCATCACGAAATTTTAAATGTGGATCTTCTTGCAGTTATTAAGGTAAGCTCACATTTTCTCATTAAAAGGTGTTATCCATCGATATGAAATGCAATTTTAAATTCAGCGTTTACGATTTGTTTGAGATGTTTATGATGTCGAACGCAGAACATCACCATCACGACGAGTTGACAGTTCTTTCTTTAGCTCCATGACATTTATTTATTTATTAACACACAACATTCCCTGGAGGGGATGAAAAGGGTTACAAATCAGATATTAGTAAAAGAAAAATAACTACATAAAAAGTAATGGAACAAAAAAGCATTAAAAAAAAAATAAAAAAATTTGTATACAAGGAATGTGTTACTGGCTTAGTTTATGTAGGTGCTGCTGTCTTGTATTAACAGTTTTTGACTCCCGTGTGCGAAGCACAAAAGGGAGTCTTTGCAGTTACCCTGTCTGTATGTCACTTTTTTGTTCCACCGTTATCTCAAGAACCACTAATCAAATTTTGGTAAAACTTGGTACATAGATGCTCTGGGATAATGCGCAGAGTTGATTAGGTTTTGGTAAAAATCTATGAATATTAATTACATAAT